GATATACTACAGCTTTAAAAATCAGAATCTTTAGGCCGGGTGCGGTGGCTCAAGCCTGTAATCCCAGCACTTTGGGAGGCCAAGGCGGGCGGATCACGAGGTCAAGAGATCGAGACCATCCTGGCCAACATGGTGAAATCCCGTCTCTACTAAAACAAATAAAAAAAATTAGCTGGGTGTGGTGGCGTGGTGGCGTGCGCCTGTAGTCCCAGCTACTTGGGAGACTGAGGCGGAAGAATTGCTTGAACCCAGGAGGAGGAGGTTGCCGTGAGCCAAGATTGTGCCACTGCACTCCAGCCTGGCACCTGGTGACAGAGTGAGATTCTGTCTAAAAAAAAAAAAAAAAAAAAATCAGAATCTTTAGACGTGGGCCATGTCCAGTGTTAGCTATTATGAACACTGCTGTGTTGCCTGTCTTCAGAGCCTCTTCATTTCACACAAGATAATACATATCCCAGCACTTCAGGAGGCCGAGGTGGATGGATTGTGAAGTCAGGAATTCAAGACCAGCCTGGCCAAGATGGTGAAACCCCATCTCTACTAAACATACAAAAATTAGCCAGGCGTGGTGGCAGGTACTTGTAGTCCCAGCAGCTCAGGAGGCTGAGGCAGAGAATTGCTTGAACCTGGGATGCAGAGGTTTCAGTGAGTGGAGATTGCGCCACCCCACTCCAGCCTGGGAGACAGAGCAAGACTCCATCTCAAAAAAAAAAAAACAAAAAAAAAAAACAAAAAAACAACTTACCTCTCTGCAGAGGAAATTCTTAGAAGTGAAATTACTAGGTCAAAGGGCATAAGCTTTTAAAATTCTAATAGTTATGACCAAATTGCACAGATTACATTTCCCTTGGCAAAGTGTGACCTGTTTACTTGTGAGACTTAAACAAAAATAAACTAATATTTTACATACCATAAACAAAAATACTGAAGAGTCTCTAGGTGTGGGGCCTGGGCATCAGTATCTGGAGCCTCAGAGAAGAGTTCTGAGCCAGGAACTCTCCTGGGTTTCCTCGCCCTCCAGCCCCACTCTCCCACCAGGATTTGTCGAAGTGCTGGTGAGCCTGAGACCACTCAGGGTGCTACCAGCATTGGGGATCCCAGGGTCCTAGCTGGCAGGTCTCCTGTTCCCCTGAGGAGTCAGTGCTTTCTCCCTAGGTCATGGCTGGAAAACAGGGCTTTTCCACTTCAATCCAGGTGCCACCCTCTGGTAGAGACTAGAGCAAAGGCCATGCCAGGGTTACAAGCATATAAATATGGAGAAAGCCTGGGAAAAAAATGGAAAACCAGAAAAACGGCTTGGGTCAGAATAAGCAAGAACCAGGCTCACGTGCACATCTGTTCCATCGGTTGTATGCCCCAGAACTCACCTCTGTCCCCAGTTCATGCTCACCCATGCTTCCCCGGGGTCCGGGGTACACGCTCTCACCCTCTGCTGAATGCTTTTTCGTATTTTAAAAATACAGTGGTGAGATACTGAGTGATTATTTTTTAACGTTTAGTATTTTTACACTATTGACATGAAAGACAAAAGAGAGAAAACTGCCATCCCTGACCGTAACCCATTAATCTGCTGGTGGCCCCCTTTGTGGCATTTGTAATTGTTCTCTGTGACTGCCTCAGGAGAGTTGTCAGGGTTGCTCTTTTTCTACCAGTTCAGTCAGGGGGCTGGGGCTGGAAGGGGCCCATGTGGCAGTGGCAGGGGTGCCCCACCCTTTTCTCTTGTGGGTGGAGCTCTGCAGAAGCATGAAGACCAGCACCTCCCTGCCTGGAATCTATGAGCAGATGCTCCTGTCACACTGGCTGATGGCACCACCTTTATTCTGCAAGCAAGGGTTGTGGTCAATCCTGCCCATGGGCAGGACCTTTGGGCATGGCCCAGAAGTACCTTGGGTGCGTGACCATAGTGGGCATTTAATGTTCATAAGAGAAAAAAAAAAAGAGGGAAGGGTCACCCATGTGGCATAATTTTAAGAACTGAGGACCAGGCCTGCCAGATACTTCTCTCTACTCAACACTGTTATTGACAACATTCTCGTGGTCACAAATCCAGCTACATGGACCTGTCACTGCTCTGAAATATCATCAAATGTTGCCGGGCGCGGTGGCTCAAGCCTGTAATCCCAGCACTTTGGGAGGCCGAGGCGGGTGGATCATGAGGTCAAGAGATCGAGACCATCCTGGTCAACATGATGAAACCCCGTCTCTACTAAAAATACAAAAAATTAGCTGGGCATGGTGGCGCATGCCTATAATCCCAGCTACTCAGGAGGCTGAGGCAGGAGAATTGCCTGAACTCAGGAGGCGGAGGTTGTGGTGAGCTGAGATCGCGCCATTGCACTCCAGCCTGGGTAACAAGAGCGGAACTCTGTCTCAAAAAAAAAAAAAAAAAAATAGGCATCAATTATGTATTCATTCAACAAATCTTTATTGAGCACCTACTATGTGCCAGATGTAGTTCAAGGCATTGAGAATATAGCTGTAAATAGTCCTAGCTACTTGGGATGCTAAGGTGGGAGGATCACTTGAGCCCAGGAGTTTGAGGCTGCAGTGAACTATGATCTAGGCACTGCCCTCCAGCCTGGGTGACAGAGCAAGACCCCCATATCACAAAGAAAAAGAAAAGAGAAAATCGTACCCTCAGGAAGTTTATATTCCGGGAGAAGGGAGAGGTGATGAGCAAACGAGATTATTAGATATTTGTAACATATACATTTGAGTAATACATAAGACAGTGATAACTGCTGGAGAAGAAGATAAAGCAGGGAAGGGAGATGGGAATGAGAGGAGAGTGTAAACATTTTAGAGAGCATGACCAGGGCGACCTCAGCGAGCTGACAGCAGAGGAAAGACCCAAAGGAGAAAGGAAGGGAGCCAAGCAGCTGTGTGTGGGGGAAGAACGTTCGGGGAAGAGGGTGAAACAGCTAAGGTGCCGGCTGTGGGTTTTCTGCATGTTACTTAGTTTCCTCTCTTAGGCTGGATCATAGCAACTTGAAGGTAGAAAGAATGTTTCTGTGCCTTCAGAAATTACTGTGATTATCTCTCACTGCATACCCTTTTGTACCTGTTGAATTTTGTATCACTTGTGGTTATTTAAAAGGTATAGAAACTATTTCTGCTGGACTTGTGCCTCAGAAGGGGGATACACAGCCCTGAGTTGGAGTCTGTAATTATCTGCTATTTGAGTATTTGATAGTGACATGTTTGAAACACCAGGGTCCGTTTTGTTTTTTGAAGATTACTAATTCCATAGTTTTATTAGAAGTTGTTTCTTGCCATGCCAGGTTTATTTGCTAAATATTCAAAAACCCTGTGTTCCTTTTTGGACTCTTTTTTTTTTTTTTTTTTTTTTTTGAGACAGTTTTGCTCTTGTCACTCATGCAATGGCGTGACTTCGGCTCACTGCAACCCTCGCCTCCCAGGCTCTATCAATTCTTCTGCCTCAGCCTCTCAAGTAGCTGGGATTACAGGTGTGCACCACCATGCCCAGCTAATTTTTGTATTTTTAGTAAAGACAGGGTTTCAACATGTTGGCCAGGCTGGTCTTGAACTCCTGACCTCAGGTGATCCACCTGCCTTGGCCTCCCAAAGTGCTGGGATCACAGGTGTGAACCACCAGGCCTGGCCAGAACAGTTTTTTAAAAATTATTTTTATTTCTTGAGACAGGGTCTTGCTCTGTCACCCAGGCCAAAGTGCCGTGGCACAATCTCGGCTCACTACAGGCTGGACCTCCAGGGCTCAAGTGATCCTCTCACCTCAGCCTCCTGAGTAGCTGGGACTACAGGCGCATGCCACCACACCTTGCCAATTTGTTTAATTTTTGTAGAGACAGGGTCTCATTATGTTGCCAACCCTGGTCTTGAACTCTTGGGCTCAAGTAATCCTCCTGCCTCAGCCTCCAAAGTGCTGGGGTTACAGGTGTGAACCACCACACCCAGCCCCAGACCAGTTTTAACTGTGGAGTTCCCATCAGAGGATGACCTCAGATTTCCAGGTAGGTGAGACATCGGGCTCATCACTTTTTTTTTTAAGCCTCCTCCAAGTCCCTATTGGCTCTTCAGCTAGAAGAGTAGAATTTGCAACTTCTTTTCCTTTGGGTAGAAAAGACTTCTAAGGTATTTACATTGGAAAATCCAGAAAGAATGTAAATAGTTGTACCTGAGGGGTGAGGATTGGAAGCGAATCCCATGACAATAAGGAGAGGACAGGAATGAGTCCTGCTAGTCAGGTCCCTTTTTGCATCTCTCTGCCTCCCGTTCAGCTGCGGGCACACAAGTGCATGTGGAAGATGACAACACTCAGCCCGGCCTTGAAGAAAAGACTTTTGTTTTCCAGCCAGCTGAAGAGCATGTTGTATGGCACATGCAGTTTCATAACTGGAAAAATTACAAGAAAGGGAAAAAATGGTGAACATTTTTTAAATAATAGAAAGTTGTGATATTTATGGGTCTTTTTGGTAGGCTCTTGTTTGCTGAGAAATGCTGAGTGTTTGATAAATTGTATTGTTTGCTGAGAATGATGGCAAGGAAAACCCCGCCCTGCCCCCACCTCTTGCCACACAAGTGGAAAACTACTTGGGGCATTCTAAAGTAGCAAAACAGTAGATGCATATCATACACCGGTGAAAACAATTCTTTAAGCCCGGGATATGCGACCCTGCCCCCGCGGCTTCCTCGTGGAGAATACTTTCTAGTTTGTTCTTGATCGGTGGTAAGCAGGCACCAGCTGCCTACTTAGTTTATCTTGGGTCTATGAGAAAACACAGAACACCTGCTGTTAATAATAATCACCTGTTCAGAGAGAATAATTACGTGGGTCAGCATCTGCTTGAGGCCTTCAGCCTATAACGCTGTCAGCCCTCTGAGGCTCTCGGGTTGGAAGGCTGTTGGCCCGCCGGATAGTCCCACTCTGCTGGTCTATCTGGGTGTCTGCTTCTTAATGCCTTCAGTGCCACCTGGATGGGGGTCTCTACGGCGGAGCAGGTCTGAGTACTTGTTCATTTTTATGAGGTCTGATCAGGTCTCCTTTTAGCTGATGAGGTCTCCTTTTCTGCAGAGCCAATGAGAAAAGGACACACACAGCCTGAAAAGGACAAGGACAGGGAAAGGGAGAGATGGCGAGATGGAGGGAGAGCCAGCCCGAAATTAGAAGCTGAGTTTTCTGTTGTGTCAGAAAGCAGAGCAAGGGTCATTGTGCGGCAGGTGGGTAAGTTTGATACCAAGTGGGAGAAGAGTGTCAAAGAGCATTCATTTGGCAGGGAGTGGTGAGGTATCTTTTTATAGGCTGTTAAGTCCATTTGGTGGCAAACTGCTGGCCCTATCTGTGTGAAGGGGGAGCATTTCAAAATGCGGTCATGATCCCATTGGATTGGGTACAGGGTGCGAGAGAAAGTGAATGCATGCTCTCTGAAACTTGTCTTAGAACCGTAATTTATGTAATCTGACTTGTAGGCACAGTGAGCCCTCAGTGAATGTTTGTGGTTGAAATGCGAATTGGAGTCAAAGTAGGAATTTTAAAATCCAGACACAATCCCTTCCCTCTCTCTGGTATTCGAAGTACGCTATGTACAGGCCTGGCATAGAATAACCCTCTGGGATTTCTTTTTCACTTGCTGGCACTTTTACAACACCTACTCTGCAGCCTCCTGCGAAGCCCCAGTCGCTCCTGTGCAGCCTCATCCCTCGACTGCCTTCTTCCTCCCACTGTGGTCAAGGCATCATCTCAACCAGTCGAATGAGAAGAGGAGGCTGGTTTTCTTTCTCATTGTGTTAGGTTAATTAAGAGTTGTTCTTCTTATAGCTAAAAGCAATATTGCCTGGACTGTGGGCTAAATGCTCTGCAGGCTAAGATCCAGTTTAGTGAGCCTTGCTGGTTCAAATACATCACAAACCAGATGGTCATGTCTACCTCTGTTGCAGGCATCGTGCCCAGAGGGAATTAAGTCCTCCAAATGACCTAAAATTATTAGGTAGAAAATGTCACTCTGACCTTTTTTCAATGTGTTTTTTTAAACTTGGACTTTCTTTTTTTCCTTTTTTTTTTTTTTTTTAAAAAAACCCTTTTATTTTTTAAAATTAGGCAATAGTCAAATGGAACAAAATTATAAAAGTTCAAAAGGTGAAAAACTCTTCCTCCCATTCCTCTCCCCCAGGTTAATTCCATCCTCAAAGGCAACCAATGTAGCAATGTCTATGTATCTTCCACACGTTTATACATATACAAGCAGATATGCACACATATACACATTCTCATTTTTTAACACAAAATAGCAGCATAGTATCCACATTGCTCTGTGCCTGCCTTTTTAAAAAAACTCAATATATCTTAGAGATCATTCCAATCCCATATCAGTTACTAAGATTTATTTTATCATGTATTCCACGCACATACAAAGAAGCCCACATTATGGTAATTTCTCTTCCCTCAATACTTGGCAGTTGATTTTCATCTGTGTTTTCCCCTTGCTGGTGAATGATTTCTACCACAGGATGGTCCAATCACATTCTTTGAATTGTCTTCCGGATAAAATATCTTAATAAGCATTAGTGCTTTTGCCTGAAGGATAAGTAAACAATTGTATGTGATTAGGGCTCTGCAAGCACATTGGTGTCTCACTGTTAATTTAAACCACATCCTGAACCAGGCCCCTTAAGGTCATAAAAGGAGGACTCCAAGAATTGATCTATCTTCTAAGGCTGTGGCATGTTTTCTCTTGTTCCAGAAACTAGAATGAGCCGAAGCATTCCTGTGGAGGTTGATGAATCAGAACCATACCCAAGTCAGTTGCTGAAATCAATCCCAGAATATTCCCTGGAAGAGGAATCAGAACCACCTGCTCCAGATATAAGGAACATGGCACCCAACAGCTTGTCTGCACCCACCACGCCTCACAATTCTCAAGCTCACCCAACCCTGAAACTTGCAAATGACCAGCGGCCTGTATCCCAGCAGGTCACCTGCCTGCGCACTCAAGTTGTGGAGGACAGTGAAGACAGCTTCTGCAGGAGACACCCAGACCCAGGCAAAGCTTTCCCCTCTGGGTCCTCTGCAGTCAGCGAGCCCGAGCCTGAGTCTGAGTCTGTGGTTGGAGCCCTCCCTGCAAAGCATCAGTTTTCATTTATGGAAAAACGTAATCAATGGCTGGGATCTCAGCTTTCAGCAGCTTCTCCTGACACTGGCCATGACTCAGACAAATCAGATCAAAGTTTACCTAATGCCTCAGAAGACTCCTTGGGCGGTAGCCAGGAGATGGTGCAACGGCCGCAGCCTCACAGGAACCGAGCAGGCCTGGATCTGCCAACCACAGACACGGGATATGATTCCCAGCCCCAGGATGTCCTGGGCATCAGGCAGCTGGAAAGGCCCCTGCCCCTCACGTCTGTGTGTTACCTGCAGGACCTCCCCAGACCTCTCAGGTCCAGGGACTTCACTCAGTTTGAACCTCAGAGGTATCCAGCATGTGCTCAGATGCTACCTGCCAGTATTTCCCCACATGCTCCATGGAACTATCATTACCATTGTCCTGGAAGTCCTGATCACCAGGTGCCATGTAAGTGATATTTACCTCCTCTGGGCATTCTGGGCTGGGTGACTAAAGAAACAAGGGACTCACATCCATGCCTTGTGTCACTAGACCAGCATGAAGAGGTCAGAATGCTGGGAGCGCATTCTGCTTCTCCTAGGGGCTTTTCACGTGTGGTTGGATTTGCAAAGGGCCTTCAGAGAATGCTTTTTCTTTTTCTTTTCCAAGATGGAGTCTTGCTCTGTCACCTAGGCTAGAGTGTGGTGGTGTGATCTCGGCTCACTGCAACCTCTGCCTCCCAGGTTCAAGCAATTCTCATGCATCAGCCTCCTGAGTAGCTGGGATTACAGGCGCACACCACCACACCTAGCTAATTTTTTTAAAATTTTTAGTGCAGTTGGGGTTTCACAATGTTGGCCAGGCTGGTCTGGAACTCCTGACCTTGTGATCCGCCCGCCTTAGCCTCCCAAAGTGCTGGTATAACAGGCGTGAGCCACCACACCCGACAGAATGCTTTTTCTTAGCCTAAAGCATGTCCCACTTGGAATCTCCTTCTCTAGAGATCTTTAAGGACAAAACAGTTTCCTCTCTCTGGGTTAGTTTAACAAGCCTGCCTAGAAGCAGAGAGATGACCCACATGATTTCTAGAAAATGTATTTTTTGTTCTGATTCTTGGGCAGATGGGTTCTTTCTTCTCTTCATGTTTCTTCCCCATCTTAGACTTGGCAGAGAAAGGGCTTTTAGTTAAAAACAAAGCAAAACAAAACAGAAAACCAGAAGGTGCCCAGAATGTCATTGAGACTCTTGGATTCGGGCCATTACATGAAAATGAAGTTGCTTCTGTGATTCTGTTGCTTAAACCCTTTTGGACGCTTGAGCCATCCACAGCTACCCTGCATTCCAGCCACTCAAAGACTAGCAGCCCCCTTGCTCATCATGATGGTTCACATCTCCATGTGTTTGCCACGCTCTTCTCCCTCTCCGGGATGTTCTTCCCCCTCTTGTGTGTTTGACCCAGTTTCTGTACACCTTTAAAAAAAACTGCTTTGTTGAGATCTAATTTACATAATGTGAGGTTTATCCTTAAGCCATTTTAAATACAAAATTCAGTAAATTTTAGTGTATTTACAGTTATACAACCACCATCAGACACATTTTTTGAGACTTAGCTCAAGTGTACCCCTGGAAACCTCCCAGATCATGTTCTCCTTCAGGGCCTGATGCTGCTCTGGCCCTGTTGGGATCCTCATGCCAGAAAGGCATCTGATTATCTGCTTGTCCCCTCTCCTTCCAGACTGCAAGCTTTTGCACATCCACAAACGCAAACGTGTACTTTCAGTTCGTAATTCCCCAGCATTTAGTACAGTGTCTGGCACTTACTGGACTCTCAAACTACTTCTGAAATAATATGTACTAGTGAAGTTAGCATTTCTGAAAGTGGTAATGTCTTAGATTGAGATAAAAGCTCTATCACCATTTTTTTTTCCTACCACCATTCTTGATATTAAATCTCTGCTGAGGCCACTGGAAAATAACAATAGGGCTTTCCAGGTGAAACACAGGACTGTGAGATGTGATATTTTTCTTAGCAAATAAACAACTCAGAGTAATTCAAGGAGTGTAAGAAGTGCCTGACCAAAGGCCTGATGCCCAACTTTAAATTATGGAAATAATCACAAATGGTGTAATCAACCATAATTTACATATTTGTACATGTATACTAAGTATAAAGCTTCCTAAAGTGAAGAGAGCAACACAGTAATTCATAACTCAAAAAAAAAAAGGAAAACAGGAGATAGAGAAATGTAACTTAGAAGATGCTGGGAAGAAATAGGTAAGAATGAGTGTGACATCAGGAATGAGGGCAGGGGCTGGGGAAGCTGGAGTGTGTGAAGAGAATGGGGCCTTGGGCTGGAGAGGGAGAAAGCCCCTGATGCCTAAAACTGGGACCACTGTATATATGTTGGGAAGCCAACAGAGTGGGAGTGCGTGGATGCCACCGCCTGCTCTAAGTGCCCAATCGTAGGGTGGGTGTGGTGGTAGATTCCCTTAAGTGTGAATCACTGAGAACTGAATGTTAGCAAGGTCAAGGCTGTGTTTCTCAGTGATTGCCAGGTTAAAAAGGAATAATTTGTGAGAATAATACCATAAATTACTTTTTAACATTCTATTATTTGCATTTAAAGGTAATTTTTCACTGGGTACGGTGGCTCACGCCTGTAATCCCAGCACTTTGGGAGGCTGATGTGGGCAGATCACCTGCAGTCAGGAGTTCAAGACTAGCCTGGCCAACATGGTGAAACCCTGTCTCTACTAAAAACACACAAAAAAAGTTAGCCAGGTATTGTGATGGGTGCCTGTAACCCCAGCTACTCAGGAGGCTGAGGCATGAGAATCGCTTGAACGTGGGAGGCAGAGGTTGCAGTGGGCAACAGAGTAAGACTCCATCTTAAAAAAAAAAAAATTTTTCTGATCATTATATTTGGTCACTCCCAAAATTGGACTATGTCCGGAAGTTCAAAAAAGA